GCTTTAACCCGCTGCGCCACCAGGGAGGGCCAGGGCAGGTGATATTTCAGGTGGGATGGACAGATAAATGAGTAGGGGATAGGTGGTGATTTGGGGTAAGATAATGAATGGAGAAATAAATGAGCTCGTGAGTAGACAGGTAGATGGGTGGGTATATTCATGTGGGATGGATGAATGCTAGACATTTGGGATGACTTGGAGGATTAGACAGAGGCAGGGGCAGTACCCCCCTCATCTCAGCCCCACCTTCCCTTCCCTCCTTGCAGGTGCCCCAGACCCCACAGCCGGTGCAGGCATCGAGGATGCTAACTGCTGGCACCTAGATGAGGAACAGATCCAGGAGCAGGTGAAGCAGCTGCTGTCCAATGGCGGCTACTATGGTGCCAGCCAGCAGCTACGCTCCATGTTCTGCAAGGTACCATCTGTGAATGCCAGGGGGTGAGGGTGGGGGCGGAGGTGGGGGCTGGAGAGCCTTGGTGCAGGCAGCTGCCCCCCTCACCACACTGTCCTGGCACAGGTGCGGGAGATGCTGCGGATGAGGGACTCCAATGGGGCGCGCATGCTAATCCTCATGACTGAGCAGTTCCTGCAAGACCCGCGCCTGGCCCTGTGGAGGCAGCAGGGAGCAGGCATGACGGACAAGTGCCGGCAGCTCTGGGACGAACTTGGTGAGGCCCATACTCTGGAGCTGGTGCACACCAGGGGCCCCCTCTCCCTTCCCTGCTCTGAAACTGGGGTCTGTCCCCTGAACCCCTCTATTAGCAGCTCTGATTTAGGAGGCAGTGGCAGGGTAACAGCAAAAACTGAGATTAAATACCTCCTCTGATGCAGCTGACACTTTCGATAGGTAGACAAGAAAATATATTTGACCCTTGAACAGTACTGATTTGAACTGCAAGGGTCCACTTATACGCAGATGTTTTTTCTCTCCTGAGTCCTGCACTCAGGATTCCACCAACCTCGTAGGTCAGAGGGTTGAAGCCCCAGAACTAAGTATACTGAAGGCCAGCTCGACATTCATGCTACATGCATTTCACCAGGGTCAGGTCTGGGGTGCTGTTAGTGCCCCCAACCTCTGGGTTGTTCAGGGTCAACTCTATGACAAACCCGAGGTCCACAGACATTTTCCACAAGGGCAGCTAGATGGTAGCTTGTGTTTTCTGACCACCTGCCGCAGCCACTCGGTTCTGCCCATTGTGTGAGAAAGCAGCCACGGACACGGAGCCAGTGGTCATGACAGCAGCAGAGAAAGCTTTGTTTATGGACAGTTTACTTTTTGATTACTTCACTGGTCACAAAATATTTTTTCATCTACTTTGTAAAAAGGTGAAAATAAACCTTAGTTCATAGACCCCTCAGAAACAGGTGGCAGGTTTGATGTTCTGCCTGGAGAATAGTATGCCCACCATAGGGGGAAGATAGCAAGGGGCGTTTGACAGCCTCAGTTCGCATCCTGTCTTCCAGCTTCCTAGCTGCAGGATCTCCATGTGATTTGACTTCGCCGTGCTTTGGTTTCCTTACCTGTAGAGACTTTTAGTTTGCAAAGGCCACTGTTATGTGGGTGAGCAGTGCAGCCAGGTGCAGCAGGCCCTGTGTAAGTGCGAGCAGCTGCTGTCAGCACGAGTTTGAGCCCCCTCTCCATCTCCCAGGGGCCCTGTGGGTGTGTGTGGTCCTGAGCCCCCATTGCAAACCAGAGGAACGGGCCAGCTGGCTCCAGCTGCTTGGCAAGTGGAACAAGCTGGATGTGTGCCCGCTGGAAGAGGGCAACTACTCCTTTGATGGACCGGGTCTGCAGTCCCCCACGGCCCTCAGCCCAGGTAGGAGAAGGTCCCTGCTACTCCCTGCTAGACCATCACCACTGCCTGTAACCAAACCTCCAGTACAGCTACAGGGGCACCCAGCCGTTGCCTTCTACCCTGTTGGTTGGTGGACAGTCCAAATGGACAGGAAGTGACATGTTTAGGGCACCAGTCATTCTGGGCCGGTCTCCTGATGCAGCCGTCTCCTGGCTGAGTGAGGAGAGGCAGAGGCGGTGGGAGAGAGTTCCAGGAAGAGTGGAAAAGGAACAAGGGGGTTGGGAGGAGAGAAGGAGAGGAATGCAGTGTGGGGAGAAAAATGGAGGAGTCATTCCGCCTCATCGTGCAAGGGCTGTGTCGTGTGTCCACCATACCGCATGCACGAGCACACGCATCTGTGTGGATGCCTGGAACGGCTGCTGCAAGAGCTGGGAGAGTTTCGACTCCCCCATCACTATGCCCAGAACCTAATCAATCTGGCCCTCGGTAGGGGGATTGGACCGTGGCCAAGGGTCCCTCACTCTCCCTGGCCATGCATGCCTCTCCACAGGCCTGGAGGAGGAAGAGGAGGCAGAAGAGGTGGCAGCGGGTTCCCGCCACACAGTGTTTGGCCGCGCCCTGCAGGCTGGGTCGCTGCGCTGGAGTGACACCCACTTGCAGAGGATCCTGGCCAGTGACTCCTTCAGCCCCAGTCTCACAGGCAACATGGGCAGCGACAAGCCAACCTCTGACCCCCAGGGCCGCCCACTCTGGCTGGGTGAGCCCTTCCCCACGGCCTGTGCCCGCGTGGACACCCTGCGTGCCCATGGGTACCCACGCCAGGCCCTACGGTTGGCCAGCGCCATAGTCAACACACTGCGGCTGCAGCGGCGACACCAGTTGGAGAGCTACAAGCAGCAGAAGAAAGGTTGGTGTCCACGGCGTGTCCCGGGGTCTGTGGGTGCACTTAGGGTCCCTCTGTGGAAACAAACGGCAAAGTGTCCTGAGCAGAAAGAAATTTAATACAGGGGTTGGGCACTCCAGAATCACTGAGAGGACTGCAGGATTGAGCGCAAACTTGGTGTTTGGGCTCAGGAACTTAAATTCAGAACCACAGGCAGTTGGGCAGCTGTTATGCCCTGGGGGGCAGTTCCCGTAGGCATCCCAGAACCTACAGGCCGAACCCCACCCTGTGCTCAGTAGACAGCCGCAGAGCTCTTCACAAGGGGATGACCAGCCACAGGCCTTTAAGCAACCTGGCCCCAGTATGCCAGAAATACCAATTTTTCAGGAAAGAGCAAGAATGTGGATTATTTGATGAGGGATGTACTGATCTTTAAACACGGGCAACTAATTCACATTTGTATTAATTAAAAACAACACTGTCTGGCACCAAAAAAAAAATTTTTTTTTTTTTTTACATTTGAGGAATCGTATAAGGGCCAGAGGAGGCTACCAGTTGTGTTCCCTGGGCAGTAGGGTTGGGCTGATAGATTACTATCAAGAAATTGAACATAAGGTGTAAGGGAAGAAACATGGGCCCAAGCAGAGCCCTCATCATCCTGGAAGAGTGAGAGATAAGCTGAGACATTAGGATGAAAAGGTGTTTCCTAGGAGAAAGGGAGGTCAGAGCAGTGTTCCAGGCAGAAGGAACAGCGTGGACAGGAGCCCGGAGGCAAGAAAGAGAGCAGTACTGGCGGGAGGAGTCAGGAAGGTGGGCTTCCAGATGCCGCCACATTGCGGTCCTTGGGGACACTGGAGGCTAGTCGGGCTGGAGAAACATGGAAGGGAGTAACTGGCTAGATGTTTTAGGAAGCACCCAGTTTGGTCCCTGTGCCCTGCCTGGGTGTGGCCGTGGGACAGGAGGGCGGGACTGTGGGGGAGAGGGCTCCTGTCAGTCAGCATTCAACTGGTAGGCAGGCACTGGGTGGCTAAGCTGGGAGTTGGGGAGAGGAAGCCCCACCGCAAGGGTTAGCCAGGTGGTTGGACATTAAGCACTTCTTCCTGCCCACAGAGCTGCTGCAGAAAGGCTCCACTTGCATCACCAACACGGAAGGATGGGTGGGCCACCCCCTGGACCCCATCGGCTGCCTCTGCAGGGCACTCCTGGAAGCCTGTCGCTTAGAGGAGGAAAGCCTCGCCCTTTACCCAGGTACCCACTCTGGGGGCCTCTAGAGGAGGTGGGATGATTCCCACACTTTGGCCAGTATCCCTGGCAAACGAGGTCACAACCTTTTTCAGATCCCCACCTCTGTGCTCCTACCCTAGGCCATGTCCCCTGTCCAGTGCCAGGAGCCAGTTGGCTCCTGGAAATGAGGCCACGATAGGCCTCTCAGCCAGTAAAAGGCAGACCCTCACCCCCAGGGTTAGTCTCCGGGGTTTACAAACTTCCCCTAACCGCTCCCCCACCTCAGTCTGCGTGCTTGAGGTCAAGGGCCCTGGGATCCCAGAAAAGGGACTCTCCTTCAGCATCTTTGGTGCCTGTCTCACACAGACTCGGGTCCTGAGAAGCGGAAGGTTGCCTACCAGCATGTACCTGTGCCTGGGAGCCCCGGGGAGTCCTACTTGGCACTGGCGCTGGAGGTAGCATTGTTGGGCCTGGGGCAGCAGCGGGCCCTGCCGGAGGGGCTGTACGCCCAGGACAAAGTTGTCCGCAATGAGGAGCAGCTGCTGGCCCTCCTGGAGGATGTGGAGCTAGATGAGCGTCTGGTGCAGGTGCTGCGCAAGCAGGCCGGGCTACTTCTGGAAGGTGAGTGGGCACCCCACGGCCTGCCTGCCCCTGGTTCACCAGTGGCCTGATTCAGGGGTCCCAGCCCTAACACTTCTTCCCAGTCTCTTCTGTGGGCTCCTACATTGATGGTTCCTAAAAGGTGAAGTGTAGCCCTCCATCCTACTTCCCTAGCGCTCCTGGCTGCCAGTAACTGCTACCAGTGGTAGAGCCACCCTGTTCCCACCCTGGGAACAATGAACTAAGTTGCCGATGCCCTCCCCCCCCGAATTTCACTCTCTACCCTTGGCTGCCTTGTGAGGCCCTGCTCCCGACCATAGAATGCGCCCACTTGCGCCCTTTGTCCCAATCTTGACCTGAGCATCCCACCCAGGGAAATTTTGGAATCTGCCAGAAGTTGATCTCAGTTCAGCTCTGCACCCTTACCCCTTAACCCATCAGCTCTACCCTGGGATTTGCCCATCTCCGCTCAGAGCCTGGGGTCTAGGCCTACTGGACGGTAGCAGGGGTGAGTTTGCACCTGGGGATTACACAGTCTGTCTTTGCAGGGGGTCCCTTCAGTGGCTTTGGAGAGGTGCTGTTCCGGGAGAGTGTGCCCATGCACACCTGTGCCCGCTACCTGTTCACTGCACTGCTGCCCCACGACCCCGACCTTGCCTACCGCCTGGCACTGCGAGCCATGAGGTAAGGACAGGAGGCCAGGAATGCAGCCCAGGGAGTTGGCTGGGGGTGGGAGCAAGCTCAGAGTCCCATTCTCTACCCAGTGTAGAATTTACAGCCCTTTTCTGGACAGGGTTATCTCAGATGTTGTTGCCACTTTGTTGTCTACCCTGCCAGAGTGTAGCTTTCTGCAAACCCATCATTTAGAAGTTGAGAGTGGGTCTTCCCTTCACAATCATTCTGCAGCCTGTGCCTACTTGTACCACATGTCCACTGACCATGGCATCATAGACTCTGTCCTGCTGGGCCTGTCCTACCATGTGGTACTGTAGCCATGCACCTTAAAAGAATCAGTCTGCAGCTGGTGATATTTGCAGTTTCCAAAATAACCATTGCCATGAATAACCTTGTTACCATTTCTCATATACACCAGCATGTCATAGAAGCAGCAGTTTTAAAGGCCCAACAAAGTGCAATCTGTCCCCTGTACTCTGATCCCGTCTTCCAGAGACTCCTAGTAACAATTCAGGGTGCATCTTTCTAGAATATTTGGAAAGAATGATCTGTTAAGAGCCATGATTACGAGAATACATTTCCATACAAGATTTTTCACAGTAGGGAGCATCACATTATAGCCCATGACCTACAATCTGCTTTTTGGATTTTCCTCTTTTTATGTGTGTGTGTGTGTGTGTGTGTGCGTGCGTGCGTGCGTGCATGCGTGTGTGTATGGTATGTAATGTATGTAATGTATGTATGTATGCATGCATTACCCCCACCCTCCAGAGGTTGGGGGAGTGAGAATATTCACCAGAGACAGAGTGGGGAACAGAACCGGCAGATTGAAATACACTGCTGAGGGGAGTAGCGGGTAGGTCAGGAGAGGTCTGTTGCACCGTGTGGGTCACCTGCCTGGCTGGGGATCGAATTCATGCTGAAGCAGTTGTGGCCAGCTTCGGAGTGCTGCGCTTTAACCCAGTGCGTCACCAGGGAGGGGGCACCACTTTGGCTTTTTTTAAGGGTTCAAAAAAATCAAAAGAATATTCTGTAGAATGTGAAAAGTAATATGAAATTCAAATGTGTGTGACTAGAAATACTGACCCAGGTAGCCATGTTTGTTCATTCACATGTTCTCTGTGGCTGCTTTTGCATAGCAGTGACTAAGTTGAGGACAGATCACCTGTGGAGCCAAAAGGATTGGCTGTGAAGCCTTTGCAGAAAAATGGTGCTGACCTCTTGACTTCGTGTCTTGTTACCCCATATAATCTTTTAAACAGCCTATTAAAATCAGTATGTTGAGCCTCACTGGTAGTGCAGGAGTTAAGTCTCAACCCTATCAACCTAGCCCCAGTCACTGCAGCATGAGTTCGATCCCTGGCCCTGGACGTAACCCACATGGCGCAGCAGACCTTTCCTGTCTTGCCCACTGCTCCCCTCAGCAGTCTATTTCAGTAGAACTGTTCTGCTCCCCACTCTGTCTCTGGTGAATCCTCTCACCCCAACATCTCTGGCCTACACCCCAGTTCTTATGTATACACACACATACATAAATAATATAAATCTTAAAATATACAATATATGTG